TGGAGCAGCCGCCTGCAGGGCTGGTACAAAGGGTAGTGAGGGGCGCGCCGCGTGCCACAGTCCACCAGGGTTTCTCGTGCGTGTGTGCTTCCCCCCCCCTGGGTGCATGCGGCCGTGCATAAGAACGGCACCTTTGGACAATCTGCAGTGCCGCTGCTCTCACGCCTAAATGGATTTTCAGGTTTTTGTACTCACATTGGTTTAAGCGTTTGGATCTGGCGGTTCCACCCCGACTGAGCAACACCCCCCTGACTCCGCTCCACACCTCGGGAAAAGATGATGGAGAAGTGCCCACTGCCCGCCTGTGAACGTCGCGTTCTTCTGGCAGCGCCAGCAAAAGATGCTAATCGGGAAACACGGCCGTTCTGCGTCAATTCCAGTGGCGCAACCCCAGCCTCTGGCTGCGCTGTACACGATGTGCGCCTGCGCCCATGTACGCCCTGCCGCCTTTGCCTCTTGAAGGCGGACACAATCGAAGCGGTGCTCGCCAGCTGCATTGCTTGGTCCACGACGACAACGCTCATCCCATCCATCCCCAGTCGCCGCAGGACCCCCACTGCGCTCGGCCTCCGCTCTCCGTCACCACCTTGCGATGGGCCTTCTTCTCGTGCCGCGGCATCACGGACTTCCATTATGCTCAATGTTTGTCCTTCACAAGGCCAAGTCGGCCTTCTTCCACGGGGCTCTCCTCCGTCTTTGAACTCATTCTGCGATTGTTGAAGGCGGCGGTGGGGGCACAGAAATTGCCTGGATTCCTTCCCTCTCCCCACCAGCCAGCCCCCTTTCCTCACCTACACCCCTCACATCAGTCCTTTCTCCAGGCGCACTACCTTGAGAATCGGGCGTTGCCTTCATGGGCACCTCGTCTGCAGCCCTGTCAGATCCACAGTCTGAACCCATATCCTCTGAGGTAATCTGCGCCTCTAGTTGTGCTTGCACTCTGCCATCTTTGGAGTCCAATCTCGCAGATCCCTGCCTTTCCAAAGCGCCGTCCAAACCGCCCTTCTCTGCGGCATGCTGCGACCCTCGCGCCACGCGTTCCTGGCCAACTCTGGAGTCCGCCCCTGCGAGTGGCTGCCCGTCCCTGACGGCGGCAGTACCTTCCAAATCCGACTTTCCTTGCTCCATGGGATCTCGGGCGTCAGGTTTTTCCAGCGGGCTGCCGCCCTTTTGGGAATCCTTGCTACCTCTGTGACTAAGGGACTTCTTGACGTGGCGGGTGGAAAGCTGGCCTACATTTTCGTAGTCAGTGGCGTCCGTGTTCCTGACCACGCTCGGCTGTTTATGGATAGCCCTGGCGGGTTTGTGTGCTTCACCACTCCGCACCCCATGCACCTGTTTACATCGCATTCACTGCCTCTGCCCATGGCCACACCATGCCGTGTGTCCCAAGCACGACGCACGGCTTTGCATTGATATCACATGTGCGACGCGCTGATTGGGAAGGCTGCCGCTGTGCATGCAAACTGGGAAGGCAATCGACAGTGTTTGACACATTGAGGATGGCGCATCGACAACAAAAGCTGATAGCCAGCGTGCGCATTGCTTCCGCAACGTTGCTCGCTCGACTCGCTCCACTGGAAACGTGATAAAGTATTTTGAAATCATAGAAAAGAAAATGCCGTCTGCATAACTTCTCGAGCCCTAAAACAATGGCCGCACAATGGAAACAAACCGCACAACTCACATAGCTTTCAACTGTGCTCAAATTGTGGCAAACAGGGATCAAATCGTGTGATTGTAATATTAAAACGAGATCAAATGTTCTTGTTCGCGTTGTTTTACCTCCCATTTTCACCAGTGCCACAGAAGAACCAGTTCGGAATCGCTAGAAGCATCCATCCCTCTAGTGGTGCGTCGATCGGGGGGCACCAATGCCCAATGACGTTTGAACAAAATGGAGCCTGCCTGAAGGCGTGGATTTTGTTGCAGCAGTACTTGGCCATTTCATATAATATCGATACCGATTGCTGCAGGCGAGTGTAGCAAGGAGAGCTTTTTTGGCCATTAAATGTTGCCGGGGTACCCATGGCCATCTCCACTGCCATGGGCATTGGTGCCCCCCCGTTCGACGCACCACTAGAGGGACGGATGCTTATAGAGATTCTGACCTGGTTCTTCTGTGTCACTGGTGAAAATGGGAGGTAAAACAACACGAACAAGAACATCTGGCCCCGTTTCAGCCAAGAATCAAAGACGTGCCGCACGTTGAAGAAGGAAGCAAAGGCAGGACTTAACGCGTTTCTTGGGCTTCATTCCAATCAGTGGGAAGTGGGGGGATCACAGCAATTACCTCCCCGGTTGCTGGTCTCGTGCCCGATCTTCTTGTCTTCGTGGGCGCTTCGGATTGTCTTTGATTCTTTGTTCTGATGGTCAGCCTTGCCTCATTTGATGTGGCAGCGCCATCTGTGTGACAAGATAAAGTTGTGGTCAAGATAGAGCTCCACTTTCCGCATTTTATTTTTTTCTTTTACTTCCGCTCGTCATGTTTGCTGGTTGAGCTTTGCAACGCCTTGCTGTCCTCGTCTTGATAGGGCTGGTGTCCGAATGGAGGACCGTCTGGCAAGCAGTGTCTAAGGATCCTGCAGGTGGCACGAGCCGTATTTTCACATGATCCTCTGTCCATGCTTGAACGTCTTTGTGCCTGTGCACGCGAGGACAATGGAAGCGCGAACAACGAACTGTGGGCTCCTTGTGCGGTGTTTGGCAAATAATGGGCGCTGCTGTACCGCGCATTAGTGAGGCTGTTTCGCGCACTGGAAGCCGTGCTTCAGGGCCACTTTGCACTGGCTAAAACAACATCATAGGGGATCTGCGCTTTTGGATTGTAGAGCAGAATGTTCGCGGCAGGAGGTTCGGGGGTACAAATACACTTGGCCGACGTATACATCTGGCGAGGGTATATATCTCCGCGTGGGAAAGATATTTGATGTTCTCAACAGCTCATAAACGTGCAAAAACGGCAGCAAAATGGAACGAACCCCCGTAGGTGAAGTTCAAACCGTGTTAAAGTGGGGTGGAGTCGTGCTTCTGCCACCTTGTTTTTGGTGGCCACCGAAATTGGCGACAGTTTTCAGCAGTGAGCTGGATCGCTTGTGCGGAACGATTGCGACGGGACTTTCTTCTCCCTGTAGTGGTCTGGACTCTGCGTTTATACGAAATGACAGAAGCTCAAGCAAGCTCATTTCGACACCCTACCTTTGTTGGAAACCTTGCAGCTGTACCGACCAGCATCGCGTGCGTCCAAGTCCACAAGCACCAACTCCGCTGCGTCTGCAGTCGCCACGTGGAGGCGGTGGCCATCCCTGAGCCACTGGTAACGCAGCGGCTCTCCGCCCTTGTGCCAAAGAGAACGCCCCCTCAATTGTGATGCATTCGAGAACTTGCGCGCAGTACTCCAGATTTCCGCTCGCTGCGCATGCTGACGTGCTGCGCATTCATTCTCGTCAGGTTTTCTTTTCCAAGTCATGCCAAAGACAACGGCGGATCAGATTTTCCTCGACTGCCGACAAAGAAACAAGGATCGCGTCGTAGTGTGTACTGCATGCAGAATTCCCGTCTCTTCCTTGGGAGCGAGGAGCTCCCATTCAAAAATCGATGCGATTTAAAGCATTACCGCTGCTCGCTACGTCATGTGCACTGGCACCTGAAATATCTCTGGAGTGTAAACAGATTGGTTGGTGGCCGGTTTGGTTCACTGAAACTTCCAAAAAAAACATTTGAAGCTGCAATTACATCATCATTGATGCGAAAAAAATACATTGTCATTATACATGGTTCATTCCCATTGCAAACAATAGGTGGCTTTCGGGAGGATACAATCTGGAAAGGCCAATATTCAAATCACAAATTCGGATGAAACGAGCAGACAAAGAGGTGTTCCTAGTGAGATATCAAGTCTTATCTACCCTGTACATCTTATCAAGCGGAACATAGCTCAGGCATCACAGAAATATACCGAAATAATATAATGAATTCAGGCATCCTCCGTAAGGCAATTCTTACAGAATTGCTTGTTTCATATAGCCTAAAGTGCATTGCACTGGGTATGCTATACACTGCATACGTAGCAATGCTGTGTGCACAATTCATTTCCTAATTGACGGTCATAGTCGTAGTATTGCAACTTCCAGTTTCAAAGTCCTACCCTTTTCAAGTACGTCCCCTGCCTGGTGGAGCTTCTTATGACTAGGATGCAGTACTTTGAGCTCGTGCTGTCTAAGTGAAGCTTTTATAGTTGTTGTTGGTACCCAAGGAGGCGCCATGTGCTGCCGTTCCAAGCCCAAGGGACACAACACTTACCCCGGCCAACAAAATGGAAAATGCGAAACATCCGCTCAACAACTGTTCAATTAAAAGCAATGAAAAATGCCGCAGATGTAGCATATTTCGTTTCAATATTCTTAGCACAATGCATGTGTTATCGATACTTGTAATTGACCAATGGCATCAGGGTGAACACCAAATCCGTTGGTCTTAACCGCTATCCAGGATGCGCTTTTTCGCCGTTGCAGCCTTGTCCCGTGCACCCCGGGAAGAGAAGACAGGGATCTGAAGAGAATGGATCCCTACCTGCGAAGACACCGAGAATCTTGCCACGGTACCTTCCCGCGCTGTCACGTCGCTCGGCTGCCTGGTCACCGACGGCCTGCTTGTGAGCGCCGCCACCACCGCCCTGGGCACCTCCACGTCGCCCCCTTTGGCCTCCCGGAGGCGCGACTTTGCCCTAGCCACGACCGCGGCGAGGGAAGTAGGCCGGGGGCTGGGAGGATGACCCTGCGAAATGGTGCAACCTTTCATTCGTTGCGCTCGCAACATGTCAGCGTACTGCTGAAGCTGTTGCTATGTTCTAGGCATCCGTTGGAGAATGTGTATGTACAAATCTTGATGAGCGATCTGGATACCGACGCTCTTGTCTCCTTTCCTCTACGCTCTCTTTGTTGAAATGCACTGCGCTGTATGAAGTTGACGTAGCTGTGCCGAATTATTATTTTTTCTACGTCATAGACACCGGTGATTTAGGTTGAAACATGCTAATTTGTCTGTGCGAGTCTTGGTCAGTACTTCATAACTGACGGATTCTGCTCAGCTCGTTAATTGAAGCGGGCTGGCAGGACTTGCAGCAGGCAATCCCGCGCCGGAAAACTCGAACTTGCAATGCCACTGTGGCGATGGCGGTTTTATCAATGGTGGATAGAACAATGAAATAGCAACTATGCAAAATATCGCCATTTTGCATGCCACGGAACGTGCAAGCTTCCACAACTGTACGATGCCATACATGTACGCACTCACTGGACGTGGAAGGGCGCGCCGCTGCAGCTGCCGCTTGACCTCTTCCCTTTGCTGTATGATAGAATTGAACCTGATCTTGAGGATGCCTGAGGTGTCTGCCTGAAAACCGTACTTGTTGGGCAGCTTGCCGGATGAGAAATGCCGCGGAGCGGCTGCGTAGCTCATATCTTCGAGCTCAGGGGAGCCACCAATGAAGAATTTCTGCGCCTTATCCCTTGAGGAGCCTGGATCCAGGGGTACGCAACATTTTGGTGAATACTCAAGCAAAATTCAACCTTTTCGTAAGTGTCAACTTAGTGTCCTAATACGAAAAGGCACATAAGGGGGCGTTTTTTCCACTAAGTGCTAGTTATCATATCCGCAAGGAATTCACTGCTTCTGCATGAAAATTGGCCTTCGATTCAATGTGATATAACTCTTCTGCCTTGAAAACTTGAATCAAATCGTGCTGAGCATGATCGGAAATACAGCTAGCCTTTGGTGCTGTGAAATTGTGCATAGATGGTCCAGTTTATGTAATGATCAGCATAATGTAGGCGAGAACGTGCAAAGGATCATTTTTCGAAAAATGCATTGCTATGTACTGTGCACGCAAGGCCAGCTCCCAATAATAGCAGGAAACCCTTCCTGTTGCCATGTTCAAATCGAGCTGCATAATGCTAGATTGTTTTGCGTAACAATCAGACATCAATAGCCGGCAGAAAGCATTCTTATTCCCGCTCACGCCCGACGCAAAGAGCTACCGTTATTTATGCAGTATGTTTCGCTCCCAGAATATATCAAAAATGTGCACGGAGCACATTTCAGAAGTACACAAGAATTGTTCGTTTTGAAATGCAAAATTACATGCTGAATAGCTCATTCAGGTCTACAAGTTTGTGTGCATGTTCACGTGGAATCCCCGAAGCACAATGCCGAGACAGCACGAGCTAGCAAATGATATGCGCATTTCACTAGGAGAAAAAAGGGCCAAATAACACTTTTGCGAACACACGTAAAACACATTTCTTCAAAATTCTGCACGCTAATAACACAAAAATAATAGAAACCCCTTAAATTTGTACAAGTTTGAATACGTGTTATTTGGACCATTTTTCCTAGTGTTTGGTGGCGCGCAAACACGAGCCGGCATTGATATGTGACAGGCGCGCATGCGCTTGGGCGTGTGATTCTGCGCCACGCAGCATGGAATTGCTAGCATTTTGGGTGGCGCAGTCCATTCTCAGTCGATTCCATTCTTAACTTGAACGGCGTTTGTTTCATGCAACACTGCAAGGGGTCATTCTCACATGTGGGCTTCCATGTGCGCACAACGTGCGAGGAGCTGCCGGGGCATTTGCCCGAGAGCGACATCCACCCGTAGCCCTCTGAAGTGTAGCGCTCCCATCGATCGTAGCTGCACACCTGGGAAAGAGGCACGTCGCGCGCGGTTGATTTTGATCGCGTTGCAACGCATGAACCAAAATCGACGCACTATTCCACTGTTTGAAATCGTTTGCATGAGGATCGAAACTATTTGAAATCGTTTGCATGAGGATCGAAACTATTTGAAATCGTTTGCATGAGGATCGAAACTACTTGCAATCGCTTGCATGAGGATCGAAACTATTTGCAATTGCTTGCATGAGGATCGAAACCGCATGCAAAACAGGTATGTTCGCCGATGGCAACGAGCGGCTTGCCTGGAAAATCATTGCGGGCCACTTCGAAGAATCCGGGCTGCTCTTTGCGACCAGTTCCACCTCGATTGGGTGACACCAGTGGGCGACGTAGTAGGGCGTCTTGCCCTCGGGTCTGTTCTCGGGGTATTGGACCATCTTGGACACGTGTGTGACGCCCTGCCAGACGCACTGAAAATTCTCAATGCACACGGGGGGGGAGGGGGGACGGGCATTAACGATGACCGTCATTTCGTCTGTAACAAAAATATGTAAGTCTTGGAGGATACAGCGATAATGTTCTCCATAGAAAGTATGAGAATGATGCCCATTTATGTGCTAAGATGATGCGGAAGAAATTTGTATGGACAGCGGTATGACATAGCCGGAATGTCGGGTACACAGAAGGATGGACAATGCACCCAAAGGAATCCTCGTGTCCCCTTGTGATAAATGAGATCTATGGTAAATCTCAAACGCGTCGGATGGTTTGGTTCCCCGGTAACAAAACCACAACGACGAGCGCTGGCAATTTCGCAATTCGCGGTCGCAGAGTGCCTCCAGGAATCTTGTGCGACATTCTTGGTCTCATGAAAAACATGAACGGAGAAATACCGCGTGCAATTCAAAAGGCCAATACAGGTGAATACTTGAATAACCCTGTGCATATCTCAAATGCTAAGTTGTTATCACCAGCAAAAAGGACCAAATAGCATTTCTTGCGAACACACATACATGCATTTCATCAGCATTTTGCATGCTGAAGACACGGAAATAACCCAAACCCGTAAACTTCGCACACATTTGAACACGTGTTGTTTGGCCTTTTTTCCCTAGTGTATGGCATGGAACTTGGATATACAGGATATCAAGATACCCCGCACGGAGACTATCCATGCCTTTCCGTCATGTACATCTTTCCTAAGCGGTCGAGTTGCATGCCACAACAGCGCCTTGTTACAAAGAAACTTGACTTGCAATGACTGACAACATCTGCAATAACGTCGCCAAAACGTCGCGCCGGCTTCACGGAGCCACATATTGCCAACGTGCACTTCAAGTACCTTGCAGGCTGACACAAACGTCGGTTCCATCCGACCTGCGCAATGCTGGAAGGGCTGCCGACGCTGCTGTTCCCACTAGGCTGGATGATCCTCCACGCGTCCGCCGGGCAGACTATTCGGTACTCCACGTACAGGCGGTCGCGACCAAATCCCGTCCCACACACTATTTCGCACAGCAGCACCAGTCGGATGGCATCCTTTGAGTCGCCTGCATGCAGCGATTGCCCGTTGTGGCAAAGCATTGCTACTGCAAAACCGCGGAAGTTACGAATGTAGGCAAGTAGGATAAAACAAGATTGCGGTGTATAGCTGTTGAACACCTGCGGTAAACGAGTTTGGTGTGCCGATGCGTGGACCCATGCGTTTCCCGTGGTGTGCTAGACAATATGCTACTCAAACGTATTCAGCGTCTCGCAGCCTGGTTTACTCTGTGAAAAATCAGTGTTGCTCAATAAAAAGGATATGTGCCCTGGCGCGAAAGCAGCCGTCGCTTTACAAGTCTCGAGGCATGTATCTAATGCAGAACATCATTTAAAACAGCGCCCATGAGTTACCGCACAATGATTTGCGGCATAATTTGAGGATTGTTGCCCCTGGTAAATAATTGATCGCGCCACACAATTGACATCCGCGTCCAAACTGTGCTAAAGGTAAACCAAGTTTTAAGTCGAGGTAGAATATCACGAATTTGTGTTCATCTTAATGCATCTTGCATTCCGGCTCCTTTCTTGGCGGCCTATATTCAAACTCACAATAAACGAGCTTCATATCCCCAATTCTTCCCATGATTGTGGCCACTTGCCTGGGGGCAGGACGAACAAATTTCTGGCGGCGTGGTGCCGCATGACCTGCACTTTCCTGCTCACCGCCTTCGCCAACTTTTCTTCTCGCCCCACGGAGGATGAGTCTTTGAGCGACGCATCCTCCACGGTGTACTCATACACAGCTCCTGTGGTCGCCCCGCAGAGCTTAAATTTAGATTCCGCACGATTTGTTGTTGCTTAATTGATGATCAATTTACTGTTCCAAGACTTCCAAAATTGAGAAACTACGGTGAGAGAATCGAAATATCCGAAGCGAGCGGTCACGTTACCCTGGCAGTAACGCATGTGACCAATGGTGAAAAGCATATGTGCTGCGTATTCAGTGTTCCGATGGCCCATCAATGCACTCCACAGCGCATTATGTACTCAATCATTCACTTGCCGCTTCAATGCGTAAACGCTGCATGATGGCCCCTTTAAATGATTCGTCGAGGGAAGAAATTGGATCTTCGTGTGATCTGGTTCGTTCATCAGTGGATCAATCGAATATATTGACCAAAAAAGACTCATTAAGGCCGATTTTCTAAAATTCCCGTACCCTCGATTCCAAAATTTAAGACTGCCTTGCGATGCAGAACATCAGTAAATCGAAATCCTTGAAGTCGTTTAAGTCTCGCAGCCGCATCCCTGACTGGGAGCTTTTTGGTCGAGCACGCTCTTAGCAAAGGCATCAACATTCAAACGGCCCATCTCTGATGCCAATGCATGAGCTGATTGAAGCCAAATTTAGGCACCCAAAATCTACCATGTTAAATAGGAAACATTCCTCCCCGAATTACTTGAAGTGCTATTAAACTATTGGCAACAACGAAAATAACTTGAAGCAATTTCCATTGCTTTGAAGTAATTTCCACTAACAGCATCGGTTGGGAGCGTTCTAAGACAAACTTGTCTTGCACAAATATTGTGTTACAATTTATTTGTAATGCTACCAATTATTTGGTAACCTGCTCATCAGAATCATAATTGGTGGGCGCACCCGTTTTGTCCTCGAATCTGTATTTCTTTCCGGGCCTCGAAAATCCAGGTCGCATGTCGAGGCTGCCATCCGGGTAAGACAGAATGCTGACAAGAACGTGCTCCAAGTCATGGGCCATGGATGAGGCGTGCCCCAGGTCCGCCATTATGTGCATTGGCTGCAAGGCTGCCACCTGCGCTTCGAAAAGTGTTAACATAATTTAACGAATCATGTGAATTGTAGGTTAGCGAGAAATAGCAGTTTTGACGACTCGAATTTCCGTGCAGAACCCTTGCCCATATGCATTGGACAGTCCTTCGCTCACAGTGGTTGCAATGCTTTGCCGTTGCGTTCAGTGCACGAAGCGTACTCACGGTATCGCCTACACCGCATTTCTTTCAATGACATTGCAATCAGTGTGTGCCCTAATTGTTATCAAAACTCAAATCATTCAATTGTAAAGCGGTCCGATGTTTTTAGCGTTGCCAGGCATACTGCTTTTTACTAATCTGACATTCTAGGTAGTTGCTCATGCACACATTGTTGCTGTGGTGTGAGGACCACCCTGGTTTGAGTATTCACCTTACGCCTCCTTAGCAGCGCCGCTCGCATGGCCGCTGGCGAGGCCTCTCTCTCAGACGTAGTGATCTGGTGCTCTCTCTCGTACCGGTCGCAGAACTCATCCCCATGCACGTACGTAAACAATATACCACCCTCGGCCTGTAGAAATACGGCCTGGGGGTATATTCAGTTATTCTATTTCAAATTTGTAATGGATAGTACGCTGCTGTATGCGTTTGTTGAAAATAGCCACGCTTCAGAAGAGCCATCGCCTCATTGCTAGGCGTTGCGCAGAATCTGCGCAACGCCTAGTAATGAGGCGATGGCTCTTCTGCAAAGCACATTTGTAAGCGTCCAGCCCAAACTGATAGAAATTGGGGGCATGAAACATTCGCTGGACATTACATATGCTTGAAGCTGAGCAAGTTACGCCAAATTTCACATGGCATTCTTAACGAATGTGAGCCATGCACTGTGCAACCTGAACGACACGTGAATTTCACCGACAACGGAATGTCGGCTGGGCGGCCAGGCGCCTTTTCAGCTTGCGGCACCCAGATTTGTATACCCGATGTATCAGCCTCGTTACAACAATCACCAGCCATTCATCAATGTCTCGCCACACAGTGGTCAGCGGATAAAATGGACGGATGTGGGACGCAAATAATGCTTGGGCGTATAACGCCGCCATGCCCCGCAGTTGGCAAGTACAGCGGTTTGGCCTGTCGAAGACAATTTACAGTTTTACAGGAGTATGTTCTTTCCCACCTGTGCTTTGCCTTCAGCATCCGAGGTATCGTCTGAAGCGGGCACGTTCGCGTTTGAATCCGACAAGGCCGATGGCTTAGTGTGGCCGGCCGTGACGCTGCGTGAGTGTTGAGGCAAGCGAACATTCTGGAGCATCCACAGCGAAGGGAGAACATGCCCCAATCAGTTGGTCAAAAGGGCCAATTCAATGTCGCGATAAAAACAGCGCTTAACTTTGAAATTCACTGATATACTATCCATTTCGTTTCAGCTGCGTTACATTTTGGTTGTCACATTGCACATGGATTGCTGTGGCAATATAAGATGTTTAGCTGCTGTTAATAATACATTCCAACACTGAGAAACTGGATAAATTAATACAGTTCTATTCCTGTGCCGTCAACAACATGAATGCATGAAAACGTAAACAAACATTGTAAACAGCAACAAATCAATGGATCACACAATCAATCAATACATTGAACAGCAGAAATAAATCAATCAATCATTGCATTGAATTTCGGCACCGAATGTCGCATCGCCTGCAGGGCGCCTGAACTTCTTGTACATGGCACTTCTTTTGGCATCTCGAAATTTCCAGTGCGTTTATACATTGTACAGCTTACCCCTGTTCTGCTTAGTAAATGAATCACTCATGATGCCTGCACTGGGAGCGCCCGCTGCAGCCATGGACAACCCAATAAGCCACGCATTCGAGGTGCGCTTTGTGAGTGTAATTTGTGTGCCAACGACAATCCCTACCGAGGATGCCAGCATCTCCGCCTTGCTGCGAATCTTCTCCTGCCATCCAAAGACCCGCGCCACGCACAGGTGCGTTCTCGGCCCCATTTTAGGAAAGCTTGTGGACCTCCCTGTCTGACTGTTCTCGCCGCTTCCTGCAGCCACCCATTTTGAAATAAGCCAATCATTTCTAAGCCAATGTTATCAAGGCTATTTAAAAGATCTTCAAGATATTTTAGATATGCGCTTGAAAACGCATTGCTG